ATATACAATAAGATGAATCTAACAAGATTTCACATATGCAAATGCAAAACTTTAATGATCAATAATTTTAATTTTCCATAAGTAAAAATTATAAAAGTTATACATTATGATAGTACTTATTGAGACGAATTCAAAAGGATCCCACGTGAATATGTTTTTCATTATATATTATTCACAAAAGACGGTCAAAGAAGAGATCATGAATAGTGTAAAAGTCAAAGCTAATTAAGTAAAAAAAAACGAAGAAAGTATATATTACCGAAAATTTATGGTCAAATTTTTTACGATTTGACTCATATATTGTCAATACCAATAAGGCAAAAAAAATAGGAACCCATGGAATACTCCAATAAATAAGTGTAATTGACATTTGTGATGTAGACTTTAAATTAAATAAATGAATGAATTGTCAATCAATAGAAAAACTGACATCAATCATCAATCTATATGTATGCCTGTATGGCGCACCTTGTACCACTCATTTTGTTTTGGATTTTCTTATTTTATTATTGCAAAATAAAGTATGTGTAGTATATTCTATACTATAATGATTAATTTGTAATTGGATTATATATATTATTTCCGTTATCAATAAGTATGGAGTACCATATACTAAAAGACACATCAGCAAAAAAAAAAGGTTTTAGAACATCTTCAAAAACAAAGTACAACATATTGTAGCTTATTTTGTCACATCGGATTTTTAAACTACAACGGTTTCAAGCTTTAAAGTGCCACATTGGTTAGCTACAACACCTTGTAGGTTATAGACTTATAGCTTGCCTCATAAATCATTGTTAATGTTCAAAGTTTGTATTATTTTTAAGAAATTTTTTACGAAATTAAAAAAAACCTACTCGTAAAACCCAAAATCAGTAGGAATCACCACCCCTCCTATATATTGGCTTGTTTTCCGACTAAAGAATCCACGTGTCATCTCCCTATTGACTTAAATTAACAAAATTAAAATAAAATTAAAATAAAATCAATTTTTTTTTTAACAAAAAAATTAAAAAAAAAAAAACCCCCAACTCTGGCAACCACCTCGTCCCCCTTCTCTTGCCACTCTCCACCCATAACAACCACCTGTCGGACCACCCCACACCCTAACCAGCCACCTCCAACCACTACCTCTTCCGGCGGACCCCACCAAGCCCCATACCTGCTCGCCTGGCCACCAAGCCCCCTCCAATTTCTTCCCCAATGTTTCCCTTTTCTCTCCTCAAAACCCTAGATTTTTAGGTGTCCTATAATTCGCAACACTAGCCACAATTAACCACTGTCGGTGATTCATCCTACCTCATGTAACACCCCAATAATTCTCTCTTCAAAACCTGTATTAACCAGTAATAACTTGTAGTTACCTGTAAATACTTTTAATAACCTGTGAGAGAATTACTGGCGTGCTACCGCCACGTGTTCAAACGTTAAGGCTAGTTTCAAATATCAGCAGCGGAAAACTAATTTAGTTTTAAAAGAAAATGTAAGTTTCAAAACTAATAATCAAAACCAAATTTAGACTTACAAGTTGGAACCATAACGGCCCTTATTCAAAACCCAGTAAAATAGGAAGCGAGTAGAGTTAGAGTCAAAATGACATCAATTTATGAAATGAAATAAGCTAAGTGATTAACCAACGTTCCACTAAAATCCCATCACCCTGATGCAAGTTCAGTTTATGCAAAAACCTGTGATTAGTCTGCTCCCCAATATTACAAGTATAAAAATTGGATCATTACAGGGTCATTGAAAGGCGAAGGCCATGACCAAGAAAAGACACACAAAAGCACGCAATCAGCAACGCTGAGTACATACAAGCTACGAAATATAGCAAAGAATTCCTAGCATAGTACTAATAAGCAATCAACACACACAATATAATCATTGACTCGAACACATGACTCAATTGTCGATCATTACTAAGTTTTCACTAAATAGCATTGATCATTTCATTAATTTGATCGGATTAAGCAATTGACCAGGTTGTCCCCCTATGCTCCATTCCGGAACATTAATAAAGAAAACCCTATGCCTCCTTTCGGAAGACACTAATAAACATCTAATGGCAGACGGGCGCGACTCCGTGGCCATAGCTAGTATGAGATCTCATCTAACTCATTATAATTTTTAAAGAATTTAAAACAAGAGACTCGTAGATCAGACAGCCTCTAAAAAGTACACGGCTAATACCCCGTGGACCCCAACCCCTGTTTGTTATTACTCTAGATGTGCACAAATCCAGAGTTTTATTGCTCATCCTTCTTGCACTTTACGTGATTTACCGGTTTAAACTTGGTGATGACTCAAATGCACACAACACAACCAATCATACATCAATCACTCAAACCATTCAAGTTTCCAATTCAATTCTTAATTTATTAGTCACAAACAATATTTATTATTGAATCCTTTAACTACCTCGGTGTATAAACACCTTAAGTGCATAAGGCACCTCAAATCCTATCCCTCAGTGTTAGAAACACCTTAAGTGCACATAGGCACCGCAATATAATTTATCTATGTGTACGAAGACACTTAAATAGCTCCTTTTTCATGCTTATAGCATCAATAAAAATTATATGAACCATAATAAAATTCCTTTTTCATATTCCAAACCAAATTAAACATTTAGTTTAATCAAACATGCTCTCTAACATGCCAATAATAAAAGTATGGTTCACAATCAACATGTCATTATAATTAAATCCAATCACCAATTCACCATAAATAAATCATACATCACCAATCATTCACCAACATCAATCCAATCAATCAATTCCATCCAACATCTATCATGATACTACTTGAAATTAATTTAACAAAGCCTAGCATGCTTCTATACACTTAAACTTTACCAAGTACGCGAATGTACCTTAAGTCATCTTTCCAACTAGCCACAATTGCTAGAAATTACTCAACTTAAAGTCTCCTATAATACCAAATACATAAACTCAATTACTTCCTTGATTACACAAATTTCCAGCAACTTTTAAACACTTTAAACCTTCTCTAATAAGCTGAAATTTTGGTTTAAAACCTTTAAAACTCTTTCTTTAAGTGGGTAATTAAAACCACAACATAAAAACTCATTAATGGTGTTTATATAAAAATTCCAGCACACTTATTAAGATTTAAATCCCTCAAATAAGTCTGAAAATTATTTTTAAAACATTAAACCTTCGTCGAAAATCAAAAACTGTCCGAAAACCCTATTTAGAGGCTGAATTTGGCTACGAGACGGTGGTGATCACTACCAAAGGTAATGAGTTCTGATTAGAACGTTGTTTACACACGAAAAACACTATTTTTTTTTGTAAAAATCGGACGAGTTAGAATTTCAACGTGATTAAAACGTGATTTAAAATAATTAAGAACGGAGGTCGGAATTTAATTACCGAAAATTTGTTTTTATGATTAATTAATCTTTATAAATTCAATAGGAATGAAAGCCCTAATTTAGTTGATTATTAGAACCCTAAAAATCAACACTTTAATAGTTAAAACCCTAGCTTTTAATAATTTATAAAATCATAATTTAAAACCATACAAAATCTGAAATTTATACTCTTTTAGTTGTCAAAACACAATTATAAAATATACTAATCATATTTCAATAATTAAAATAAAAAATCCATAGTATATAATTATAGGTTTAATAATTAAAACAAGAGGAGAGGGAGAAGGGTGGCTCACGGTGGGGGGTGATTGCTGGCCGGTAGGTGGCTGGTTGCCGGCAGTGACATGGCAGCGGTGGTGAGGTGGCAGCGGCGATTGGTGGGCGGCAACTTGCGTGGGTTTGCACGCATGAAAGAAACAAAGGAAATAAAGAATAAGGAAAAAGAAAAGAAAGAAAAATAAGGGAAAAGAAAAGAAAAGATTACTTACCTCAAAAAATCTAATTTTTGATCTCTTGTGTGGGAAATTTTTGGGGTTTAGAGGAATATTTATAGAGTACAGAGTAGGGATCTTGTTTGGGCTTAATAAATAAATGAGCTTTAGTTTTGAAATATTTGACCCACAAGGGCTCAAATAAAAGAATTGGACTTACTTAAATGAACTGGGTTGGTCCACTAGGAGTATGTAAGAATTGTTTAATACTATTATTTAAATGAGCCCAAACGATTATTAAACGTTTAGCCCAAAATAAATTATGCTTTTATAAACTCAATAAGTTAAATACTTTAGCCATTTAAATATTTAATTAAAATACTTGAGTACTTTAAAAATATATTTTATAATTAATTAAATAATTTATAAAATACATAAAAATATGGAGTATTATACCTCAGGTACTGTTTCAGTGGAGTAGCCACTTTAACGAAGGACTCAGAATGCGCTTCAATGGAGTGAAAAAGGAAAAAAGAAGAAAAAGAAGGTACTGTATAAACTTGTGGGGGACTTGGTGGGTTCACCGACAAGTATGTTGGTTGGAGGTGGCTATGTTGGGGTGGAGGTTGTTCGGCAAGTGGTTGGTTTGGGTGGGGTTGGCTGTTTCGGTGCGATGACAAGAGAAAAGGTGGGGTGGCTGCCGTGGAATGGTTGGGGATTTTTTTTATTTTTAATTTTTTTAATTTTGACCAATAGGGTGGTGACACGTAGACTTTTAGTCGAAAAACAAGCCGGAAAAGACAGGAATCAAACCGGAATAGAGTAAGGGTGGTAATTCCTACTAGTTTTGGGTTTTACAGGCGGTTTTTTTAAATTTTGTATAATGATGGTTTTTTTTACAAAAGTGGTATATTTGGAGGTGGTTTTTTTTTATTTTTAAATGTCCTTATTTTTAAGTTTTGAAAAAGAGAGAGGGAATGGGAGCAGTCATCCGCCACCAAGGGGCAGCAGTCAGACTGGCGACCACCACCACCACCACCTAGGGAAGTTAATAATTCTTAAAAAAAAAAAAAAGTTTAAGAGGAAAAATTCCCTCCAAAAAGACTGCTTTAGTATAGGTGTATATAGATTAATGGGTTTATTCGGTCACTATCTGAACATCAACACAAAGGTGAGCCTTGAATAATTCTCCAAACCAGACAAAGATTTTCAACAGAACTTGATACATATCATTATATCAATAGGAATCAAGCAACACAATGACAAACCCTAAAGTGAAGATATACTAAGCTACAGCTGGTAAATAAAGAGACAATCTCACATAATAAAATAGTCAGACTGTCACAATCCTTCAAGAAGTCTGGGTACTGAAAGACAACTTGTAGCATATCCAAATATACAATGATCTTGGACCTCTATATCCAAATGCAACCAAATACCGTGCATATCATATTAGGCTTTTATTATAAACATTGATAGACAGTGCAACTCCAATGATAATAGATGCAGTTGCACTACACCGGGATTTATTTTAAACATTACCAGCTTTGTTGAGAACCCCCTGAAGAATGACCATTCAACCTGTCAAGCACAGCATTAAAATCTACAGGTTGCCCACTTTCCTCCAGCCTTTGAATCACACTCATAACATGATCACCCCTGTACCCCATGCTCACCAACTTATCAACGAGCTCATTATAAGGATGGTTGCGAACGTATTGCTGAGGGGCAGGGCTGCGAATCATAAGATTGTTACTGCTTGGGGGAGGCATGTTTGGAACTGAAGGATTTGTAGGAGGATAGCTGCCTTGAGAGTAGTGACTTGGTTGAGGAGGGTGATGAGATCGACCTCCTTCACTGTCATATAACATGTATGTCCCTGCGGAAGAGATTGGTTGGTGAGATCCACTAGTTGCATATCCATCACCTGGCTGAGATGAAAAGCCAGCCTTCATATGTGGAGGGGAAGGCTGGGGTTGAATAGGTCTACTAGGGCCACCATACCCATAAGGCATTCCTTCTGGACGATTAACTCCTGCCTGTGGTATTCCTTGAAACGACATCTGCATTGGCATGCTGCTTGATATTGCCTCTGAAGGAGGCGGATTTGCAGGTTGACTAGGCATGTATGGAGGATAGATATTTGACTGGGGAGCTGGAGCTCTGATCTGATTCGGTTGTTGCATTGGTGGTTGCTGGGATGGGGGCATTGGTGATTGCTGGGGTGGTTGTACTGGTGGTTGGTGTGGCATTTGCATAGGCTGGGAAACTTGCTGGGGCCACTGCTGATACTGAGGATATTGTTGGGTCTGTGGAGTCTGACTTGCTTGAGTTTGTGATTGTTGGGGAGCTTGTGGTGCTATCTGAGGAGCTCGATACTGGGCATCAGCTGCAAGATATGATGGATGTGACTGAGCTTGAGGATTTGGTAACTGATTAGAAGGTAAATAATAAGACTGCATCTGGCTATGACTTTGTGATGACGGTTGTGAAGGTGCAATAGACTGCTGCTGAGCAGCAGGGTGGGAAGGTTGTTGGGCAATTTGATTAGGCAGGGCCAGAGCCAGTTGGGTGTTAGGAGTATCTGATACATCATCATTCTTTGTCTCGGAGGCAGATACAGTAGCTCTCTCATCTTGTGCTCCAGCCGACGATTCCTTCTGTGCAAGCTGAAGCTTAGCAAGTTCTTTTTGCGTTTCGGCTAATTCTTGCTTGTCCCTAAGTATCTGGACTGATCTGTGGACCTACAGTTAGATTAAGAGAATAAGATTCGACAGGCACACATTTAAAAAAAAAAAGATGATTGAACATCCTGCAGATAGACACCACATCCACACCCAAATTCTCCCCGCCCCCCTCCAACAAAAAAAAAAAATAATAATAAAAAAAAGGGGTTCTGCTACAGCCTACAGTGGCATCATCTTGCAATACAAGCTGGGTACAAATTAAACCTTACAGCAGAATGATGAAATATCAATTAAGCAATGCACAAAATTGTAAACAACCATCTCCTGACTAGAGAATATTTAAATCAGAATAAAGCTTTTTGTCTTTTGATTTGATGCTCCTGAAGCAACATAAACTCAGCAACCAAAACACATAATTCAATAAGATCCATTTGCCCAAAGAGAGCAAATTGAAGTAGAGCCAATGCTAACAAAACACTGCAGAACACACTTCCCCAACATGACTGCCCTTCCTATTTTTTGTCAGTCAGCTTTGAGCATCCCAAATTATATACTGCAGAAAGTCTGTTTACAAAGCTGCCACTATCAACTATCTAGACAGCTTACAAAAGAAACAATTTTTGGTTTGGCATCAGAACTTCTCTAAATAGTAAGAAAATTTAAAGGTGTAATCAGGGAACTACAGGAGTGCACAAGTGCAACACAGTAGATAGCAGCAAGCTGTGATGCCTATAAAACATTTGGAAGATTTTTTGGGGGTTTCTTCTAGCTGCGACTAATACCTGTTAATTTCTAGAAGTGTATAAATTCCAAGCTCAATAACTACAGGCTACCTTGATATGCATGATACACAAGACATTGACTCTCCACTAGCAGTAACCTCTGTTAATAAATGCCAAAAGAGGGCCTGTTGTTAAGATGACTTAAGACATGTGGTTTACATATTCAGCGAGATGCCCAGAAGGTCAAGCAAAAGTAACTTACTTCTTGAAGATGTTTTTCCAGAAATTTCAGCTTAGAATCTGCTTCCCCGTGATCACGGCCTAAATCAGAGCGCATTTCTCCAATTGACTTATCAAGGTTGTAGCAATACAATTCCAACTGTGAGAGACGGGAACTGATTCCCTCCAGGAAACGCATGAGATTGTCAGCATACTTTTTCATGGTCCTTTCAACTACTGAAATCATTTCTTGACTCAAAGATTCCTCGGGCTGATTGTAAGCATTAGATGTAGGAAACACTGACGACCTTGAAATCCTGCTTTTCTGAAAATCCTGCTAAGAAAATCAGAATAATTATTACAAAAACAACACCAAATTTTTTTCTTTATTAACGTTTAAGGTAGAACAGTGATGTCAACATTAAGTAAACAATAAGCTAAAGTTCCATTACTAAACCACAGTTACATTAAACTTCATTGCAGCAAATAAAATATTACAGTGCTTTTTATATAGATCTCCTAAATACCAAACTAGAGCAGCTATTACTTTGTTCTGGCAGAGGAAATTTGGGGGGGGGGGATCACAAATAAAGGTGTTTCGTTTTACACATTGTATGTAATACAAAGATCACATCCATAGCATCAAATCTAGGGAGCCCCACGAAAAATTGGGTCAGCTACTTGTCAATCAAAGGAAACCCAAAAAAGCAGCTACTACCACCAATGGTTTGGACTAAAAGGTCTAGAAGTGAGAGGCTTTAACCCTCCCTAATACATGAAGACTGAGATAATGTCATGTTCCACAGCATACTTGCATTCCAACAATGATAAAATCCAGAACCAAAAGGCATCGCTGGCTCTAAAACCCCATATCATCAACAAAAAAATAAAACATCAACCAAGACAGCCAACAGCTGTGATTATTTGTTAACTTGGTGAATTTAATAGTTTTGGATGATTCCATCTAGATCATTTACAAACCACACAACGTCAAATTATTCATATGTTATCTGAACATATGACTTGTTTAAAACAAATTACTTGTAATAAATACATAAAATTCCACAAATATATGATACCCTACCTCCAAAACAGATAAAGGAAAAAGGTTACAGCAAAAGCACCATCCATTGAAAAAGAAATAACCAGTATTAATCACTCTCCTGTAATCACAAAGGTGCAGTAGACTAAATCTCACACAACTACAAAACAGACTAAGCTCTTATCTTAGTAAAGCCAAATAATGAACCAGGTAACAGAATAAATCCCCAGAATAAATAACACGAAACCCTCGAACAGCTCTAGTTCCAAGATTAGCTCTAATCTTCCGCAATTTCAAAGGCATTGCAATCTATAGCTGGTCGTAACAGATAATATTAGATTGTCAATCTCCAAGCTTATGGCTTTGTCACCAGATTCATAAATTTTGCACCTACACCAACTATCATATTCTGATTCAACAACCAAATGAATTGATATATGAAGAAAACAGTTGAACAACGTTTCTGATAATCAAAATCATTAAATCATCTCCAAATCGCCAAAAATAACTTTTCAAACGGAAACACATTTAACTTAGCAACACAAATTTTTTCCTAAAGAACATAGCAATTAACCCTAACAAAACAGTTAATAGCATCAACAAATTCCTAATTAGGATCCGATCAAAATCTTCAACAAAACAGCATCATAAACCCTAAGAAATCAAAACAAAAAAAATCAAACAAAACTCAAAAATCAACAAATACCTTGTTAGCGTTAGCTCCAACAGACGGATCGGAGTGACTTCCATTAGACGATTCCTGATTAACATAATCTTCGTAGGAGCATAATATATCATCCGAAGCGAAATCAAAACCTTTTGAACCAGAAGATCCAGACGCCATTAAAACACAGAAGAACAGCTAATTAAGGAAAAGTAAGGATGAAGAATTGAAGAAATCAGACGAAGAAGCTAGGGTTTTCGATTTTTTATTTTATTTTTTATTTTTTATTTTATTTTATTTTGGGAGAGATAAGGCGGAAAAAGGAAGGTGGGGAAGAAGATTGCTTCTGTATGAGAGCTCGAGAAGATGCTTTATAAAACGTTATTATTTAATAAAAATGACACGGGGTTTTTTTAATTTTTTTTTAGGGGGTTTATTATTTTAATGTGATTAGAGAGAGAAAGATGAGGGGGTTGGTGTTGGCCAAATGGTTAAGAATGATGATTAATTTACACACGCATAAGTGCACTTAATTCGAACTAAATAGTCGTGGTTTAGGTGACATTACTCACATGATTACAGCTGGGCACGGGCCGGGTTGGCCTATGGGCGACATGGCACGACAGTCGGCGTGGCATGGCAGCTAGCCTGATCATCGCCTGGCGTGCCGTGGGCCGTGCCACGGACATAAATTGCAAATTTCCGGCACGGTCCGGCACTAGCCCGCCTCTTGGCCCGCGTGCCAGCCCGTAAGGCACGGCCCGCGTGGCGGCCCGGTCTGGCACGCCAATAACGACTATAATGAGAGTCGTTGCTTTGCTGCCGTTGCTCTTCCCCTCTTTCTAACGGCCATTAACGACTCTTTTTTCCCCAATTTGCCTATAAATACCAAATTTCACTTCACTTTCAAATCACAATTCAACTCATCTCTTCTCTTAATCTCTAATTATCTTAATCTCTAATTCTTTTATATTTTCTAATTATTATTTATTAATATCGAAAAAAAATTAAAAGCTCGTAATCGTAATTAGTGGAAAGCGTTGAAGCACGGTTGTAAGATCTAACTAATCTTTATTATTGTTGTTAATATTATTGTTATTACTTATTATTATTGTTATAATTATTGTTATTAATTATTATTATTATTGTTATTGTTATAATTGTCGTTATTAATTATTATTGTTATAATTGTCGTTATTAATTATTATTATTGTTATTGTTATAATTGTTGTTATTAATTATTATTATTGTTATTGTTAAAATTGTTATTATTGTTAATTATGGCATCACCAAACATGAACAACCCATCATCCTCTAGGTTAGCCCGATTTGTCTGTGGTAATAGTTCTAAGGAATCACCTAATCCAATTACCCCCCCCCCCCCAATTTCAAGTCTGACCAATGACTTGTGTAACGTCCCCCTAGGCTTTGAACAATTAGGCATGATGGTACTTTTGGTTTTCAACCCTATAACATGAATAATATGCCCGGATTTCCACAAAACCAATTTCCACCACCAAACCAATTTCCACAATTCGGTCAATTCCCACCTAATTTCTTTGACCCACAAAATTTTTATTCTAGCCAAGGTAGCCAACAAGATACCCTAAATGCCTCCGGTTCTACTACTAACCAACAAATCCCCGAATCTACAAACACCCAATTCCCAAACACACAAGAGCAATGGTTAACCGAAAGTGGCATGGTAAATATCAAAAGCCGCAAAAGTGATGTATGGATAAATAAAGCCCAAACAAGAGCAAAATGTAAAACATGTGGTAATATATACTCGGCACAATCCAAGTCCGGGACGGGACACTTAAGTAGACACATGAGAAGTTGTGCAAAACCAGCTAGTGATCCAACCCAACCAAAAATTTCGCAATTCCATCCACACGGCTTTACCTACAACTATGAGAGGGACAGGGATGAACTAGAGAAAATGATAGTACACGCCGAACAACCTTTTCTTTTCTCCGAAAGTGACCCATTTAACACTTACATTAACATAGCATTACAACCCCAACATAAAAGAATCTCTAGGAAAACCATTTGCCATGAAAAACTTCCTAGAGCACAAAATGCGGTTACAAGACGAATTGAGTAAACTTAATTGTAGAGTGTCTTTGACTGCCGATTCTTGGGATAGTGGTTATAAATATCACTATTTATGTGTGACTTGCCATTGGGTAGATGATCAATGGTTGTTACAAAAACGAATAATCCATTTCAAAATGCTGGAATACCCCCACACCGGTATTAACATTGCTCACCATTTAATGGAAGCAATAAATGAATACACACCTTCGAGAAAAAATCATGTCTATGACATTTGACAATGCAACCTCAATGATATATACTGCTAATTATGTCAAACAAACCTTGACCGATGTAATATTAGATGGTGACGCACTTCATACTAGATGTGTTTACCATGTTCTTAACTTATGTGTACAGGATGAAATTAGAGCAATTGGTCCATACTACAACAAAATTAGAGATGCTATTATGTCTATTAATAGCTCAAACATGAAATACCAAGAATGAAATAGTTTTCTAAAACAACAAAAGATAAGAGCAATAAAAATCAAAACCGATTGCCCAACTAGGTGGAATTCCACCTATGACATGTTAACCAAGGCAATTGAGTACAAGAATCCGTTGACAATTTTTTACAACCAAAAATTTCCAAACAATGCTATATATGAGGATGATTGGGATACATGTGAACGATATATGCAATTTTTACAGTTATTATATAACATGGCGTATTATTTTTCTTCTGTTTATAATCCTTGTGCTCAAAACTTTCTTTCAAATGCATGTTTACTCGCCCAACTTTTCGCTGATCATCGCAACCAAAGTGATTATGATCAGTATCTTCCAGCAATGGAAACAAAGTGGCGTAAATATTATAGTGAAATTCCTTTAATTTATATTTTTGCTTCCATATTAGATCCTAGGCAAAAGTATGAAAATACATTTATGTTAGTTGACATTTATTTTCAATGCATGCTTCTTGACGATAATGTAGATACCTATAAGAGTAATGTGAAGGATCAGTTTTTTGCTTTATTTAGAGTCTATGAAACCAAATATGGCACCGTTCCTCGCTTAGGCCCTTCCCAACCATCCAAAAACGTAAGTAAAAAGGCCAAACATTTATTTTCACAAGCTACTAACTTGATTTCAAGGTTTTCAGGTGATTCATCAATAAGGAGAACGCAAAGCGATGTCTCGGAGTTGCAAATGTATCTGAGTTACGACTTCACCAAGGGCATGGATGACGATGAGATAAACAGCCTCGACCTCCTTACATGGTGGAAACAAAAAAGCACGAAGCATCCAACTTTGGCGGCAATGGCACGAGACATTCTTGGTATCCAAGTCTCCTCCGTTGCCTCCGAACGAGCTTTCAGCGCATCCGGGAGGGTTTTAGACGATAGAAGAACAAGTCTAAAACCCAAAACACTTGAAATGTACGTGTGTTTCAAAGATTGGTTGGATGCTGAAAATCGCTCACAAGACCGTTCTTACGATGACAACGACAACGATGAAGGAACCTCCGCTTCCGACCATTCGAGTTCGGCTAGTTCCCAATCTATGCAACTAGCCGATGACCTTGAAGGCGAAGGCGAAGACGAAGACGAAGACAACAAGAAGAAGAAGAAGAATAAACAATTTTTGTATATTGTACGATTTCTATCATTATCAACATTATCATTTTACGATTTTTATCATTATCCAATTTTTGTTTAATATCCTTGTACGATTTTTATCATTATTATCATTGTACAATTTTTTCAAGTAATAATAATATGAAGAATGCATTATTCACATCCAACGTCCATTTTGCCTTTTTTTCCCGTTAAGTTATAATTTGTAAATTAATATAACAAAAAAAAAATTATAATAATTAATAATACAAAAATAAATATAATAAATTTTAAACATTAAACTATAAAGTAATAGTATAAACTAAATATATATATATATATATATTAAATATAAAAAATAATAAAACATAAATATTAAACTTAATTAATTTTAGAAAAATAATAATATAAGATTATAAGTTATAAACTATTAAAAAATTAAAAAAAAAGCCAAAGCAAAGGCGGCAGCCCGGCACAAGCCCGCTCGGTACGTGGGCCGTGCCGTGGGCTGGCCTGTGATTTTGGGTGGCACGACACGGCACGCTTCCTCTGGCACGGTGGCATGGCATGGCACGGCCCGGCACGTCGGAGACCGTGGCCCGCCAGGCACGGCCCGCCACGGTACGTTGCCCACCTTTACACATGATAACATAAACAAAATAACAACATTGTATATCTAAAAGTGCATCAACTGTTGAAATATATACCGAAAATAACACGAATGGAAAATAATTCTCTCAACCAAGCACCTTCCTCCGAAGAACAAGACCAAATCAATCGTTCTTCCAAGAAACATAAAAGAAAAATTAATCATTTAATTTTCAATAATGAAAATACTCAGCAACCAAGTTCTGCGAATACCCCTCAAATGCCCCAACCTGCTCAAAATTCCATCTCCTTTCGTGACCTGGTGGCTAATGAAGTGTGAATGGAGAATGACATAATTCAACAATTTGACATGAATGAGGATGATATTTCAGATGATGATGAACCTCCGGATGACCTGCTAGATGATCCGAAGTGCCCTGTCATCTTGCTGACCAAAGAGGAGAAACGCAGGCTAAGAGAACCCTGGCGACACACCGTTATCGTCAAGATGTTTGATAGCAAAATTGGATACATGGCTCTAATGAAGCGCTTGAAGAAAAAATGGGAATTGAAAGGGAGATTGGTCCTTACTGACATTGGACATGACTATTTCATAGCAAGGTTTTCAAACCTTGGGGACTATAATCATGTTCTAACGCAAGGCCCTTGGATGCTTGATGATAATTACCAACAATACGCAAATGGCAACCCAATTTCATCCCTGATAATGCTCCTTTGCGCTACTTAACAGCATGGGTTAGAATTCCGCATTTGGCCGTTGAGTATTTTGATGAGGAGTTACTGAACAAAATAGGAGGAAAAATAGGCAAGGTGATTAGAATTGATAACTGTTATAAACGGAACTGCGGGAACAAAAACAGTAAGAACAAAGTTACCGAAAAATAGACTGAGTCGCGGACTATGTCGCTTTCTTTAGAACATTCACGGCACTGCCCTGAAAAGGTGCAAGCAGTTCGTACTAAACCGGATGTTCCCCAGGATAAAACAGCCTTTCTCTATTGAAATTATACCGGTGGAACTGCACAAAACCACCGGGCAACTAAACACCCAAAAAGAAAAGAAACTGCTCGAGGGTTTTGTTTTTGTGAGGAAAAATAGAGAGGAGAAGAAGATTGCTTTCTGTATTTTTTTGTGTATCAAAAACAGGAAATCAACACGCCTTTTATAGGAAAAATTGCAACGTAACTGCTGCTGTTTAATTAGGCACTAATCACGCAATTAAAACGGTCATAAGTTGAACGTTCAAAACGGATACAGAAGATTAATGCGTGGCAAAACGTTTAGCAAAAAATCAG